GTAGAGGGGGGTTAAACATACAAGAAAATGGTTTAGAAATAAGCATTAGACAAGTTTTACACTAAATATACCATATTATGTCATTAGGACTCAAATGGCACCGAATAGTAAGAATGACCCATTTGGTAATTGTAACAAATTAGGGTTTTTCATGCAGTGCATAAAAAACTTCGTGGAAAACACAGTGACTTTTTCTAACACCGCACTGTGTTGCTGTTATGTGGCTGTTGCTTCCTCTCTGCTCACTGACGTTAATTGATATTAACTGCGCTGGTGAGTAGCAGCTGGTAGATGCACTTGATTGCTTCGGCTGGCTGCTGAAGCCTCGCCCACCTGACTGTCCCAGCCCTCAGAACTGTGTTTTTTCCACAGCTGTCTGCAGAGCACAAGTGGACATCTCTGTCTTCGGCTGGACCTTTTACTGCGACTGTTTTAGAAACGAGCGCGTTTACGTCACAAACAGCAGGAGGAAAGTATTTGCTGGACCAACGTCAGTGTTTTAAGAGGTAGGAATTTATTCCATGTGTTTTATGAAGGTTAAGATGACGCATCAGAATCTTTGATCGAAATTAGCCTTTTTCATAGATCGTAGTGTCTCCACATGGTGGGTCTTTTCCATTTTATTCCCCGTCAGAGTAATATCTGAAAAAAAAGAGAGATTTTATTTGCCCACACAACAACAAAAATATCTTTCAAAGTTTTTTTCAAGTTATAATATTTCCATTTATATCTTTAAGGATGATTGCTTTTCTTTTCTTTTGTTTTTATTCTGATATTTTGAAAATGACCTCAGATTAAGTCTTTCAGATATATCTTAATCACTTTATGTTGTATTCAGGCTGGCTATATTTTAATGAAAGTTACGTGTCAGTATAACGATCATGTTCAAATTAAATCTCTGATTTAGCTGTGAATAGGTACAAAGATGGTGTCCTGTGGTCTACGCAGTGTCCAGATGGAACCAGGTAAAACATCACTTAACAAATACAATTTCATAGGAGATGGGGGAAGAGCTCAGGAGGTAGAGCAGGTTGCTTACCAATTTGGAGGTTCGACCCCCGTCTGTTCCAGTCTGCATGCCAAATATCCTTGGGCCATGTACCAACCCCAAGTTGCTTTCTGATGCATCTATTGGCGCATGATTGCCTGTGCACTTCCATAGAAAGAGTATAGAAAAAAGTGCTTGTGCAAATGGGTGAATGAGACAAGTTGTGTAAAGTGCTTTGAGATAGAGTAGAAAAGTGCTGTATAAGAACCAGACCATTTAACTGGTTTGACCAAGTTAAGATGTGTTGTAAATTTGGATGTTTCTGTTTGACTGTCAGTTCCTCTGAAGAGCATTGAGGTGGAGCTGGAGGTGAGGGACCATGTGGCTACAGTGGTCTCCACTCTGAACTATGAGAACAAGGAGGACAAACCATTAGAGGCTGTTTTTGTCTTCCCTCTGCCTGGAGATGCTGCTGTCTGTCATTTCAG